CGTCGTGTTCGCGGCACAATTTGTATATATTTGTATCGGCCGGTTCGAGAAACCATTTGTTCCAAACTCAATGATCAGACACGTCGCATAAATAATAATTATATCGTGGCGTTGAGAAATATCCTATAGAAACGGTACAAAGGTACGAGCGTTGTACGTTTCCCTGTTGATCGATCTTTCGTGAACATAAAAGGTGAACGTTCGGCTTCTATAAATAGTAGTCTACAAACGTGCGTGAACTCTCATTGCGCGAATATCAGCGCGACACTCTCCTCTCGTCGTGTAACCCGACGTTGCGTAATACGGCCTGTTAAACCTCTCACCCTCGCCGCGGTTCTTCCTGACTACGAAAGAACGTGCCCATAACGACAACCGGTTCCTCCTTCTCCTTCTCCTTATTTTTTTTTCTTTCTGTTCTTTTCTCCGGCAGCGTCTCCGCCAGCTGCTCGCATCCTTCGTTCCGCGAGCTCTCTCGAATTTGGCTTTCAAACATACCGGTTCACCTCGTTGCACGTTTCTGCACGATCCCAGAAATGTTGACAGAGGAGGCGTTAATGGTGAAATTTATCTTTCACCTGGTAATCCGGCAGGTTAAAGTGAGTCACGTTGCTCTTCTGGAACGTGCATGATTGATTGTAATAGGTGTTTTCCTGAAACACCGTGCAATTTATCGTTGCTTCTCGTTGTTGTAGTCTTCGGGCGAAGTGCAGAAAAGTTCAGGGGTACGTTGGTGTAGGGAAATTTATCGCGAGCCGCGGGGAATGTAAAGGAATAAAATATTGATATTCTTCGAGGATTTATACGTCTTGATACGAAACATCCTAGGCGAGATAGTGTCCTCGCCAAGATATATTCCAGCTACTTTGTTAATTGAGGTCAAACCGTCTCTACCAGTTACGTAACAGCCGTTTCACCCCACCAGTCAAGGGTTAACACGTAACACCGAGCCGTCTTAATTCACTGTAATGCGGCGCAATTACAGAAACCATCGCTCTTAAATCAGTGTCTCGTGCATTAAATTTGAAATTATAATCGGCGTCCTGTAGCCTGGCGCGGGGGTGGCGAACGTTTGTCATTGTCGGCGGATTATCGAATCGGACGGCGGTTGCACGCTTGCGAAAACGTGTTGCGTGTTCGAGTTTCTGAGAGATTTTACTACCGATTCGTCGTCCCGACGAGATCTCTCATCTCGTCGTTCACGAATTTTTCAAAGGATCGCGATAATCTGTCTGTGACATGGTTTTACGCAACTAGAACACCACTCGAACGCCACTCGGATCGAGGGGGAAAAAATGTTGATCGATCTGCGGTTGCTTAGGCCGCGTCGTAACGGGAAGTCTACGGATGAGAGTGAAAAGCGATATCAGGGAGGGATGGGGCGAGAGAGAGGTTCACTGGCATCCGTGCTTTTCCACTGACAGCGCATTATACGGGAGAAAGGTCATCCCACAACCTAATAAAAAATTATGCGCCGTACTGCTCCGTTGCTAACGTTATACGGTACAATGATCTTCAGCAGGCGGTACAAAGCGGTGGCGAGCTAATTAAAGAAAATGAGTAAATAATTTTGAGTTGACCGAGTGATCGTGAAAACAAGCTGTCAGAAAAGAAATAGCATTGCTCTGCCGATTAAAGGTGGTGGAAGAAAAAGGAAAGAGAAAGAACAGAGAAAACAGGAATAACAGGTTGAATTGCTTTAAATAATCCAAAGACGTTGTCTTTTTTCCTTTGGAAATTGTTGGAGGCGAGCAGCGTTAATTATACGCAAAGTTCTGCCACGATGCATATTTATCAACTGTTTGAATAATGCAAGCTTCGTCGGTTTTCCTTGAAGTCCTCAAAAATTATGAATCTGTCATTCGATTCGGCACTGCCTCTATACTCACTTCGTAGTGTGCCGAGGCAAGCAACTTTTTTTTTCCTCGTATCTTTTTATCTCTTCTTTTTCATTTCGAACGCGACATCGAACTTGTCACCCTTCAACACACAGTCTCGCGCGAGCAATCGTCTTGGTAGACACGCCGGCCTTCGCTCGCGACGTCTCACCGAAAGATTCCGGTCGATCGAACGGCCTTACCCTCTCCAGAATATCCTAGATCAGTGCTCGATTTACAATGTTCGACTTGCGAGAAGGCGAGAGACGAACCATCTTCATCTGCCGGCGCACAAACAGTGAGCCATTAACGTCGTTTTTTGTCGATTAATCTCGGCAGTGAGGCAGTTAACTCGTAAACTCGTCAAAGTAATAACCAGGTAGAATTTCGAAACACATTTGGACGACGATAAGATTTTATTCGCTTAACCTTGTACAATCCGCGCTGACTGGTTGATATTCACCTTCTTTCGTCGTTTTATATATACATGCGTGTATATTCTCCTTAATTGATCCACGTAGCAGCAGTTTTCTAAACTTTCCGTCCCATACGTTCGATTTAATTCTTCCTTGGATTAAACGGCCGTGTTGAATTCCTTGGGTGTACCCGGCTTGCCTCACAGGCCGGCATCTCTCGTTGCGGCTGAATTCTCGCCAAAGAGTCGGTCCGGCGAACCGATCGAACGACCTTATCCTTCTCTCTCGCCTCTTCCAGATCAGTGCTCGTTTCACAGGTGGCCGACACGATACCGGTGTGTTTCGTCACGTGTCGAAGTGAGCTCGTCTTACGGGTGATTAACTGGGGCGACGTCGGCTCGTGCTTACGCCTCCGCTCTGCCACGCGTGCACCAGTCACCAGGGCCGCTGCCTGGGGGTAGGGCGGGGAGGGAGTTGCGGGGTAGCTCGAGTGATGCATGAATGAAGGTTGCAGAGGTGGTGGAGAGTGCTGAGAGAGCGAAGGAGAGTAGACCGACGTCGGCATCCCCCCGTCGGCAACCCGTGAATCCATACTTTCGTCTCTCTCCTCTCCGTGTTCGTCTCCGCGCTCGTTCATCCCCCTTCAGCCCCACGGGTTTCGCTTCGGCATCATCCTCGTCTGACCTGCGTCGTTCCCACGCCGGCCTCGCTCTCCGTCTATCCAGTGACCCACGCGCACGCAACGCGCACACAGGAACGCAACGATTACGATCATGGCGTAACCGATGCGAGAGGGTGAATTTATGACGTAGTTTTGAGTCCACCGAGTCCAGAAGATTGTAGTTAATTGACATTATTTCCGGCTGCGTGCTCGTCAAGGAGCACGCCGTCGATTTCCGTGTACGTACGTTTAATCACACTTCTGTGCGTCAATCCTGCGCGGGATCCTCTGGGCCCATTGACGGACAAACGCCGCCTTAGATTGACGGTTGGAAGTGAATAATTGCGAATCCCATCGGCCGTAATTAGAGGCCGTTTACGCTCCGACTGATTTATAGCTTAGTTAGCCCGCGGTGTATTCGAGAATAAAGTCTAAACGAGGAGATCGATCGAGTTCCAGAGACACTTTCGATTGTAAACGAGCCGACCGAGGGATCAGAAGTGTGAATCGTATCTGAGAGGGAAGCACCTTCGGATGGAGTAAGAACAGTCTTCCCGGTTGTATCATAAAAGAATATACGAGAGTATATTCGCCAGACGTTTGCTCCATTTTCACGAGGAATAAGGCATCGTTTACGAGGACGGCGTATATGCAACACGTATATATAAAACGAGCAACTTGAACTGCTTCGTATCGATTTCCTTGTTTACTCGGAATTGCTCCGTTCGATAAAAGGCTCTCGAAATTTTGCGAGTTACGCGTTGTTCAAGCACGAGCGAAAGTTCTAAAGAAAGATTCTGTGAAACTATTTTTCAACTCACGTTCTAATAATAAAAAAAAAAAAAAAAATTAAGTATCAATGAAACTCTGTACGACGAGTGAAAATCCTAATGTATGTCACAATCGTCTCTTCCAGTGACGTCGATAGCGAGGCGAATCCTGAATCGTAAAGAAATCTGTTCCCGCGAACAGTGGACTGTATTTTAATCGGACTCTTGGATTACCGAATAGTAATTCGTGTAAATCGTGTAATTCGTGTACTGATTCTTGGGATCATGAAATAATCCTTGGAGAATAATCTTTCGCAGGCTGTCTGCCTGTTTTATAGGAATTGGCCAGCCGGTGATAGACAATCATTTTAAAGTACGAGTCGAAATCGAAGGAACGACGCTGATTGTACTTGAAAACGTGAAATAAATAGAGTCGCGGATCAGCAATCGGACGAATCGTTGCTCGCGATAAACGTGCGAGATAATAAATTTCTTCGCATCGACGTAAGAACTTCTGAATCGTGCTTTGTCCATCAGCAAAATTACATTTACGTAATTCTAGTTATATGTCGCAATGCACTCGAAAAGCAGACAAACTCGAAGCGCCCGAGCTGCGTTAACAGCGTCGATCGCCGCTTTGTCCCACAAACATCTCGATAATTTAGGAATCCGAACAACGAGGGTTAACAAACGATATTGCCCAAACTCTATTTCCATCCGTCAGTTTCTACGGTCCATTTTAACCCCTGTCTCATCGATAATTCAAAAGCGATCGTCGGTGCCAAGACGCGCGTCGCGCGACAACCAGGTGAACTCGAGATATGAACGGAAGCGGGCCAAGTGAGCGCCAAACGCGGAAAACAGACACCGACAGAAGATGGAAATAAACCCGGTGACCATGAAGGAGGAGCCGCGAGGAAATGACTATCGAGAGCGTAGAACGTGCCGGAAACAAAGCGTTTCTCTTACGAAGAAACGGGCGAAGAGGAGGAGAAGGAGGAAGAAGAAGAAGAAGAAGAAGAAGAAGAAGAAAAAAAGGAAGAAGAAGGAGAAAAAGGAGTAAAAGGGGAGGAAGAAGAGAAAGAAAAGAAAAGAGAGGAAAGGATGATCCGTGTAGCGGTGTTAGGTCGGGTCGGGTTTGATCTGGTCGGGTTTGCGTGGGGTGGAGGGATATCCGGGTGGAGGGAGTTGGGTGATCGGTAGGTGGCGAGCTGACGTCACTGTAGCGGCATCATCAGCCGCGTGGGCCAATAGGGACGCTTACTCGAGCCAGGTCCATCGATCCGCCGGTTGCTGTCGTGTGTGTTGATGACGTCCGAAGGTGACGTCATCGTTAGCGCCGTTCGTCGCTGCCGCCGCTGCTACACACGCTACGGTTTTAATATAGCGGAGGAACGCGCGCGATCCGGACTCAGTTACGCGGCGGCCGGCCACCCGTGCGAGAGCGTATCGCTTTCTTGCAAAACGTGTCCGCGCTGTTTTTCACTCTCTTTTTCTTTCTCTCTCTCTATATATAATATATACATACATATACATATACAAATTTTCTCTGCATTCTTTAGTCTCTCTCTGCTTTATTCTACTCGCTGTCCGGTTTTAAATTTTCGCCGAATTACCGCGGCTTACCTCGATCCGTGATCCGAGCGGATTGTGCGTCAGTTTCGTGTGTTAAACGGATCGTGAATCGTGAGACAGAGCGTGTCAAGTGCGAGAAAACTGGGGATTACATAGGCAGAGCAGCGAAGAAAAGGTGGTGCAGCCAAGGACAAGTTTGTGTTTGAGTTTCGCGTGACTAGAGAGAGGGAGACTGTTCAGCGAGTTTCGGAGCACGCGCGTGGTTCCGCGCGTACACGGGACAACGGTGCGTCCTCGTGATACCGTTCTGACAGCTTCCACGTTGAGCTGTGCTCCTCGCGACACGCGGCACCGAGAATCCTTGGAATCCTCCAGCTTGGATTGTCGTTTTTGAGCGCCGGAACGGTCCGGGACGAATTGCTGTTCCGAGGGAACAGTGTAGAGGAGAGTGACGAGAGCCGATGCCGGAAGGAATCGTCGATACAGATCGATTCAAGCGGTTCGACGATATCATTTCGAAAAACGTCTCGGCGATAACAGTGAGAACGATGTCGGCCGTGTTTGGGACGGAGGAACGATAAATTTCCAACAACAAACGTGGAGAACGCATAACAGGATTCTGCATGCGAGAAGTGTTCGAGCTACTCGGTGGAGTGCTGACCTCCGAAGACGTATTCCGGAAGGATTCGTCTAGCCATACGACGACGCAGACAGGTCGGTGATACACGTGTGTCATCCGCTGTTTTACGTGTGTTGTGGGTGAGTTATGTGTGTGCGGCTTTCGGCTGAATCACGTTACACAGCACGTACCTGTTCTGTTTATTGTCCCGTTTCTCGTTTTCACCCACGCCGATAATGATACAGTCGAGGAATTCCACGCTCCCGTGACTGATACGCCCGGTGTTTACGAGCCGTGAGAATTATCGACTGTGAGTTATCCCCTTTCACTCTCACCCGTCGCTCATCATCGTTTACTCGTTCACCTTACACGCTTCTTGCGGATGCGCTTTCGCTTCGCCAACATCCTCCAACGGCCTAAAATCATCAAAGAGAAAGAGAGACTAATCGCAATCACCACGACGAACTGACGATCAAAAAACGACTTGGAGTATCGACGACGAGTTGCTCGCGTCGAGTGACAACCGGACGGATCTATCGCTTTCGCACGTTTGCCTGCTCATGACGGTGTGATCCTCGCGTTGTCCCGGCGAGATCGCGAGAGGAGGCGCGAGATCAGCTGTTGTCGTACCGAGCCACGTGTAACGAATAACTTTTCGAACTCGCTTTTCCATTTAGCGTTCTGTGATCGCGCACGTGCGCGCTTGCGCGGCCGCGCCGTGTACAGGAGCGAGAATCTGGCCGGTGAAAAAGGAAGGAAAGAGGCCGGGGGAAAAAAAGTGCGAGAGATCGTTGGTCTTAGGATGGTCGCGGTCGTTGAGGCCGTCGATCGTCGTCCGCGCGTTGCCGCCGGGAACGTTTGAAAAAGGGAAGACAAAGAGAAAGAGAGAGAGAGAGAGAGAGAGAGAGAGAGAGAGAGAGAGAGAGGGAGGGTGGGAGTGAGGAGGAGGCGAGAGGGAGAGACACGGGATCGAGGCGGGATCCCCGAAGTACACGACTGGATTTAGTGAATGAAACGAGTAAAAACGAGGCGCCAGAGTGCTGATCGTACGTGCGATGCGTACCGTGGAGGATACAGCCACGGAAGCAGCCGCAGTTGATGCTGCGACCACCCATCAGCGTGCTACCACCGGCAGGCATCTGGTCGTCGATCACAATCACGATCGCGATCACGATCAACGAGATCGATCGACGACGATCCATCTGCCGACTACACCGTACCACCCGGTCACCATTGCAGCGGACACCAACAACAATCATGACCATCATCGGAACTTCGAGCACCACGCGGCTCAACGCCACGATCATTGGAACAAGTGTAAGTCATCTAAACAAAAAAAAAAAAAAAAAAGAATGAAAGGAAAACGAATGAAACCAAAGGCCTTGGGACAGTCCTCTGTAATCGGTAAATTCGTCGTGTACGAAAAATTGTACAATGCTCGCTGATGGTCGGCAGGTTGTGGTTAAAAGGTGGTGGTGGTGGTGATGGTGGTGATGGTGGTGGTGACGGTCGAACGACGACGATCATCGACGAGGGGAATGGATCGACTCGTTCTGCTTTCGCGTTTTCTTGTTTCACGTTTGCGTTTCGAACGAGCCGAACAATCAAATTCGACTCGATTCGTCCGTCTCTCTTCTCGATGAAAAAGGATACAGTTTGGACGAGAGACCTTTAGAGCCTGGCCGATCGAATCGACCAACAATCTAGAGACAATAGCGCGCGCAACGAATTCGCGTGTATGCTCTTTGGAAAACGAAAAAGGTTAATGGGTAATGGCATTAAAGGCGAAGGAACGAGCGAAATGGAGATGAGGTGCGAACGATAGAGCGAAGGGACGAATCTCGCGCCCTCCCCCTCCCCTCGTTTCTTCTCAGCCAATCGATTCGAACTTTGAGAAGGATTTAGCTGTTGCAGCTCGTCGATTGGCCGCCAACCTGCCTTCCGACGATCAGATCGATTCTGCTTTTTCTAGAAGAGCCCATTCGCCAACGTTTCATCCATCATGCTCCTGTATCAATTTTCACTCGAGAATCACTACCATCGTCGTCGTCGTTTCTCTTCTACGAATCGGTTTCGATCACTCTCATTGTTAAATCATTCGTCGCGTCTTTTTGTCATTGTTTCTTCGGCCTTCGTGATAGATCTCACGCTCGAGGGCGGTAGAAACGTTCGATCGGACGTAGCCGGTGCATTCGATAGGACACTTTACCTTAGGTGTAATCAGCACGTTAAGGTAAATATAGTCTGGCAGTCGGCCGAGTGCAAGGCAGGCGTTTCTTTTCCGCGTACATACTTGGCCCGCACGAGACCTGCCCGCGCAGGAAAGAAGAGAGTACGCGAACGAACAAATATAACCGGCGCGTAGAGAGAGCGAGCGCAGGTGCGGCCGCTGATTTGGCTGCGCGAATTGCGAAAACCGTTTGTCAGATTCGCCTGAGAGTAACGACCGTGACAATGGTAAATCAACGCTTATGACTTCCGCGCGTTAAACGTTCCTGCACGCGTTGTCGCGCGCCACTGTTAAACGTCGCCATCGCCGATATCGATAGTCGATCGGCTGTCAGCCTGACCGTTACGTGGGCATGTAATTGCGATATATATGCGGGCTTTGCGGGGGCAGAGGGACAAAATAAAAATCGAGCACGCTGCACGATCGAAGGGAGCAAGAGTTGATAAACATATCGAGATGGAGAAATCTAATCAGTCCAAGTGACAGTCTCTCTGGTTCTCCCCTCTCTCGATCGTGAGGGAAACTAACTCTCTCGGTTCGCGAATGGGTACGCCCGTGGAAAATCGTTGGTCGGCCAAGTGACACGTGTCGCGAGAATGTATTGTATCGTGTATTACGTTAATAGGCCTTCGAAATAATACACGCCGTTGGCGGCGCAAGTAGTTGAGCGCAATCGGTCTCGGGCATTAGTGAGACGTGCAGACGTTGGCCGTCTGAGCTGGCACGTCTCTAACTACTTGATTCTTTTTAAACGGCCGGCAAACGCGCAGCATTGCCGCGCCGCCGCGCCACCGTCAAGTCCTCTTCTCTCCACGATGCTGTCGCGCGACGATAATCGACGATAAAATTTTCGCCCGTTTATGACCCGTTTATAGGCGAAACGTAATTTATTTTACTACGAATAACTATTGTATCGGCTTAATACGTAATACGCTGGTACACGTCGAGTAAAAGCTAATGTCTCATTGATGGATCATTGATAGAAGCGTAGGATCCTGTAGGATCGAATCTCAACGATATTATCGACGTCGCGATTCCTGTGAATAGTTTTCCATCGCCTTCGATCGATAAAAAAGAAAAAACTCGCGTAGCGATTTAACGACCAAGTTAGGTGTACGAAACAGTCGAGCCGAGCAACTCGATGAACCGAAATCGTTGAACGTCGAAGTGAAAATAATCGGGGAACCGTTCGTAGAATCGTAAAATTGGATAGTATTTTGACGGCGAGTGCCCGTGGAACGAACAACAGCGCTTCCTAGAGGCCAATTGCATTGTTTTACTGGGCAAACTAAATATACGTGCGAGGCAGGCGATCCGCGGCTGCTTGGCTGGGACACAAAGGCGACCAAAGAGACGACCAACACACCGTGGCATCACGTGCCGTTACACTTTTCACGTTTTCGGCGTGCTAGAACGATGAACGATCGACGATTCATCCGTTTGCACGACGCCGTGTCTAACTGGATCTACATTCCCGCGTCTCCGGAATGTAGGTTCGCGTCGCGTTTCGACATCATCTTCGACGCCGTGAATCATCCTCACGTTAAAATGTGCGTTCGCAAGACGTTCGCAACGTTTGGATACTACGATCGATAGTGCGATCGATGATCGATCGATTCGTTCCATTCAGAAATACTCGCCTGTAATTCTGTTTGGCGTCCCGCTTTTTTCTTTTCCACGCACGTAATCGCAAATTGGTCCGAGGTAGAAATACCGGTAGAGGTATAGAGTCGGAGCATCGACATCGAGGCGTCGCGACGCGACGAAAGAAGTCAGGCGATGACAGGTTGTCGCTGAAAACAACAGCCGACGTTGCAGTGTTGGATCATTCATGGGGCTGCGGTTACGCGTAGGAGGGAATAGACGGTTGTTTCCTGCGCGAGACATGCGATCCAGGAAACGACCTCAGGTGCTCATGGACGGAAAGGATACGAGGGGCCAATTCATACCGCTGCTTCTTCAATTATGTAATGAAATTGTCCCTCGTTCGTACCGCGAAAAACTTTCATCGAGCATGTGCGCGTTACGAACGGCGGTCTGAAGCGGGTTCCGTGGGAAGGAAAAGAAGCTGTGCAGCATCGGCCGATAATTATAATTGATCGAAACCGGTATTCGTCGATAAATGTGAATCGGCCAGCAGCTCGCGATAATTCATCGTTGCGTAACGCGTAATTGCGCGATCATTGCGTTGGAAGAAAACAGTAAATACGCGAAGAAACTCGCGATCTTGGACGGAATAGCGTTTAAGATCGAACAACGTTTGGAAAATAATCGCGTACGTGGACGAGTTCCCTTTTGCACGCTCGTTCCACTCCGCGTCGCAGAGTCGGGAGAGCTCGATCGGCCGCCGGATACAGAACGCATTCGCTAAGAGAAAGAGAGATTACTCGGGCCGAGCGTAATGAGATTGCGACTCGCATAATGACTCTAGGATCGGTAAGTGACGTTGATGCATATGAACGCGCGTGCCAGCAGTGAAAGGGTCAGTAGTCAGACAGTGGCGCTATAAATACCGGGAGGACTTGATTCGTTGTGTTTTAGCACGGTTGATTAACGACGGATCGATAGCAATCGTACGTTGCTACTTCGATTCGAGGAAGTGGCAAAGAAAGAAACACGGCGTGTTTTTGCCGTGAGAAAGAAAAAAAGGGAGAAAGAAAAAGGAAAGCGAGGAAAAGGGGGGAAAAGGTGGATAATCCAGGTGTATGCGACGCATGTAACGTTGGTCTGACGAGGCTGGGCCGCATGCCCGACAGGTTTATGGTAATTCGGGCGAACCGAGTAAAAATGTGTAACGCGACCGGCTGACGCGCGGCCTTGTTTCACCTGAAATAGATTTCACCGCGCGGAAACGTATTCCGCGCGAGTTTTGACGCCGTTCCGAGCGGCAGGCTATAATTTCTCTCTCGCGTTACGCGCGTTTATTCGGCAATCGATCGGCCAAACGTCGAAAACAGTTCTCCGATTTCGTGAAAGTCCGCCTTCGTGAACGCCTACGGTGTTCTTTCGTCTTCTAATTTCAATTAAATTAATGTGTCGTCACGTTCGTCGAATTTATATCGCTTCTCTCATTTACGCGTCACGCTCGATCGAAAGACGTAATGAAAATCTTGCTAGAAGCTTTTCGATCGATCGGCGTTTTCGCTAGATAAGGACCACGTACGTGTAAATCCACGCGCTGTAATAATAACAATAATAATACATTCCCGGCGATCTTCCGCGTTTCTCGGTAAAGAGCCGACGTCAAGCGTCGCGTGCATCGGTTCTGCATCTACGTAAAACGCATATATTGAAATCCCACCTACGGCAATGGTGATTCGCGCATCGATTACGTCACGCGGACGCAATCGGCTCGCAGAGATTTGTATAGTCGGGTGTCTTTTTTAATCGATCAGAGAGCCTCGAGAAGCCAGCCAGCTAGCCAGCCAGCCAGCCAGCCAGTCAGTCGTCCCTTCTGTGAAAGAATAACGATGTGGAATAGCTGCGCGAGTATTCCCTCGCGGTGGTTACTTTCATTCAAACTTGACGCACGACGCCGCGTTCGCGCGCAAACTCCGTGGCGTCGCGACGCCGCTAGCCTCTCTCTGCCGTTAACTCTGACGTCACTACGCCGCCCCCGTCCGTCATCGACCGACCGACAGCACGACGACGTCACACGTACCTCCAAGGACGACGCTATTTCGGGCGTTATGCATTGCCATCCTCGTCGGCGTCTTCGCCACCACCTTCGACGTCGTCGTTGGCGACCGGTGGTGGTGCCGTCAATATCAGTACACCGCCGCGTACTTCTCGCTCCTAGTCACGAGATTCCGCGTCGAGTTTTTCGCGTCACTGCGCTTTCACGGCACGATCACGCGACGCGTTTCGCTTCGACGCTGATCGCGGGGATCACGCGTCGCTTCTTCCTCTCTCGCGTCGATCCCACGCAGTGAGCATCACCGTTGTCGGTTCCTCGCCAACTTTCCAGTGTTTACCAAAGTTTACCAACTGTGTGTGTTTGTGCCTGTCATGAAGTCTCTAGAGTTTCTACGCGTGTCACGGGATTCGCATCGTGTCGATCCACTGTTCGTCGCTCTCCCGTCGCAAC